CCAGACGAAGCAAAAAATTACTTACCTTGGATAAATTTAGGTTCACAGAAATCAAACTCATCTATAGCTCCGGAAAGTTTCTTGAAATCTTCCAACCTTTCATTCGCGTAATCGATCACATCTGCATGAATTTCAATGCCATGGTTTATGCCATTTGTGCCCAAAATTAATCCAACCACAGTACTGAAATATCCAGTTCCGGAACCCATATTGAGGAATGACAGGCCAGGTTCAAATTCGAGGGCTTCCATGACCTCGGCATAGATGCCGGGAGAAGAAATATGCAAATTTCCCTTTTTCCATGCTTGGTCTTTGTAAGCAGTGTCCAACGCGTCTGGAAGAAAGTACTCAGCTCGGTCTACTGCTCGGAAGACCCTCTCAATTATTGGCCTGATAATGTAATCAGCATCTATGAGATTATCAACGAGCTCATCATTGTTTGTAGCAGTACTGGCTGCAGCCCCCATCCTGAATAGCTTAATATGCTTAATAAGCTTAATATCCTGAAATCGAATTCGAATTGAAAATGTTTGATACGCACATTCATGCACTATGAAATGTTCATGTACTCAATAAACGGAATGTATGGTAATTATTTATATCATGTAAATATTACCTAATGACTGATCGGCGCACACACAGGTTAAGTTACATCCAGGATTTTCAAGGATTTTTATTCAACTTTCTCTGCAACGTTTCAAGACAATAATAATCATTGTCACTACCAGTCACTACTTTATTTGTTGGGATGCTTACAGAAACGTGCATGTGATGTACGGAGCAGCTAGTGATGGGCTGGTCGGAACTGACCCGACTCAGGGATCCGGATCTTTAAAAGACCCGGCGGATTCGGATCTTGAAATTTTCTCGGATCTTAACGGATCTTTTATATGTCTACAAATAAAGCAGCGTGCAAATGTAGTTCAACTTAGTTAAAATATTATTTCAAAACTTACATAAACTTACGTGAATTAAATTTAATAAAATGGAAAATATGACTACTTTACATTTATTTTTGAGAGCTTACATTCGGAACATGACTATTCGTAAACCCGGTTGTCGAATCCAATGAACTGTATACTAATTCCGATTTTCACCAGAAACAAGCGAATCGCAGTTTGACGAAACTAAGTTCATGTTAAACGCCAAAATTAAACGCGTTTAACGACGAACCGTTTTCCCCAGCGCTTCGGTACGTTTCACAAACTGCGTTTATTGAAACGCAGTTTAAAAAACTGGAAACACTGGCATCGTTGCAAAAGTGACAAATATTACGACTCTCATCGCAAAATTATCTTATCAAGGAACCATTTGGCTTAGGGATGCCACAAACCAGTATTTTTCAATTTTCAATAATTAATTTAGTTTTGTTTCAAGAAAATGGCACCCTAACTTTTTTTGGTGGGTCAGTAATAAAATTTTCATTTACTGTACGTTGTCTTATAACTCTTTACGAGTAAAATACAGCCTCAGAGAAGTCTCTCCGCCGTCTCAAGAAAAATGTATTTAGAATCTGGCAAGAGCCCTTTTTACATAACAAATAGGAATGAACAAAAAGTTATGAATATTTGGAACTAAAATTTATAGCACTTATAAAGTATACAAACACCTTAAAAAAAGTTATAGTGAAATTTTTTAAAGCAAAACCAAAGTAATTATAAAAAATTTTACTTTCATCTACTTAATGCCCGGAAAAAATCTAATCTAATCCGACTGCACTAATTGTTCCATTGAAGGATATCCACGCCACTTCCTAGTAATTTGGGTGCGATTTTGCTGGGTCAGCAATAAATTATGACCGAAGACCGAATGCCTTTTGTTCCTTTATGTATGCAAGGGCTGATGGTCAAAAAAAAGTCATAAAATTTTTTATGAGTAACGTTTTACCATTTTATCGAAACTTTATTTGAACACAAAAAAAGGTGACCACATTTTTTATCTTTCCCACTTAAGGGCAGTAAAATGT